TCATCATAATAGCGGCACCAACCACCTCAAACGCCATATAGAAAACACAACAAATGCTAGAATCCTCAAGGTGATATCCGACAATCTATGATTTCCCAATCCTCCTCTTCTGGTAGTCTTGGTAGTTGGAATTATGACGATGTCCGAGCCAGGAAATGCGTAATCAGGTTTATCGTTTTTAAAAATATTCCTTTTAAAGTAGTAGGAGATGATGAATTTGAAGATTTGTTTAGAGATTGTTTTTATCCCGCATTTACAAAATTTTCTCGCCAAACCTGTCAACGTGATATTTTAAAATATTATCAGGAGGAAAAAGAAAAAAAAATAATTTCTTATTTTAAAAATTTAAACCGTAAATTTTCTTTAACTTCTGATATTTGGACATCTAGAGTGCAAACTGGTTATTTATGTATCACAGAATACTGGATTGATGAAAATTGACGAATGTTTAAAAGAGTTATTTCTTTTACTATAATTAAAGAGTCACATACTGGTATTAATATTATAAATTTAATAATTAAAGAACTTATGAAACTAGAAATTGATCAAATAATATTTTCTCTTTCACTAGATAATACAAGTAATAACAATGTAGCTGTTGATTTTATCAAAACAACTCTGTCATTGCCATGTCATGGTAAACTTTTTCATGTTAGATGTATCTGTCATATTTTAAATTTAATTATTCAAAGTATTTTTTCTGAAATTAAACCCATGATAGAAAATGTTAGAACAGTTAATAATATGCATAATGCTTTTGAAATAAGAATTAAAAATAGAAAAAATATTGTAAAAGAAAAAATTATAAGTCCAGACTAATTCCAAAAGATGTTGACCATAGGTGGAATTCTACCTATGTAATGTTAAGTGTAGCAATAGAATATAAAGAAATTATAAATAATTTTATAAATTTTTATGCTTCTAGTTCTAGCTCTGGTAGTACTTATGGAATAACTGAATATGAATGGACAATTATATATAATTTAAATGTGATGTTACAAGTCTTTTATTATGCTAAAATGTTATTATCTGGATGTTATTATCCAACAATTACTTTAGCTGCTTTACAAATTTTAAATATTCAAATTTTTTTGCCAAATATCGTATGGATGATACTTTTATAGCTGTAGTTTTTCAAATGGAAAGTAAATTTAATAAGTGTTTTAGGCATATTGTTCATATTTTTGGTTTTGGGGTTCTTATTGATCCATGTTTGAAGGATATTGGCCTTCAAAGTTTGATACAGTCATTGTATGATTATAGACTTAGATGATGGATCCACCCTTACTGATACTTCTCATCATTTATTTATTAGAAATTATTTTCAAACATTATATGATGAGTATGTAGCTAGACATGGTGTAGCTGCATAACAGTCTACAGCTTCGGCGCTTTCGAGCACAGGCCGAGGTAAAAATGTAAGTTTTGATAGGTATGCAATGGTAGCTGAACTAACCGATGAATCTGAACTTGGATCAGCATTAGATGTTTCTGAAATAGATGAATATTTATCTGCTTCCTTAGTTAAATGTTAAGAAAATGCTTTAGATATTTTATAATGGTGGAGAGTGTATGGATCAGTTTCATATCATATACTTTCCATCATGGTTCGTGACTAATTACTAACACTGCAGGTTTCGACGGTAGCTTCGGAATCCGCCTTCAGCACAGCAGGACGTTTGATCGACGACCATAGGACATGCTTAGATTCGTATACTGTACAAGTGGTGATGTGCTTGCAAGATTGGTGAATGTACAAGAAGCAATCTTAAAGAGGGTTAAGAAAGTGGATGGATTTGCTATTTTTTAGTCATCCCCTCCACTCACTTTACTAACGAAAAAGCATAAACAAATACAATTTTAAAGAGGGTTAACATTGTAATATTCCCCTCCTTGAAAACTCTGTCCAAATCCAACGAGTACTCTCTAGAGTTGATTATAAATATAAGTATATAATTTTAACCATGTGTAACAACATAAGCTATAACAGTTTAAACTCGTAAACAAAAATTTGATAAGCGTAGTATAGATCGAATATGTGAATGGTCATTTTTTTTCATTTAATATATATATAATAATAGTCATTGTTTTGTATCTCTTAAATTACCCTCTGAGCGAATGATTAAATATCAAAGAATTTGATAATCACCCAATCTAACTTGCATAATCTTCTGATAGACTTAAAACAAATTATATAGTTCTTGTCAACGAGAACTGGTATCCTTAAAGCACAACATGTCGTCTTCGTTGTTTCGTTTTTTTCTCGGAACACGTCATGAAACTGTTTAGTCCCACATCGGCCAAGTTCAAGAAAACTTGCTCCTGAGCTCGTATAAGAAAACCCTGTAGGCCGCATCTTAGAAGCATACCTTTCTCGGCCTTTTGGCTAAGATCAAGTGTAGTATCTGTTCTTATCAGTTTAATATCTGATACGTGGGCCATCGGCCCACTATGATATTAAATTAATTTTTGTTGGGGGAGGGTCCATTACAGTAGCTTGCTACTGGGGCCTTCGAGCGTCGCCCTTGCGTTGCACTACTGCATGGGCCTGGCGCACCCCTACCAAATCAAATTTTAAATTTTGAACGGCCTGAAAGTCCTGTTGTTTTAAAATAAGTGTTCGAGTTTAATTATTTCTAACAGAAAAGGAAAATATAAGCTTAACCTTTTCTAATAGAAAAGGGAAATATGAGCTTAATTATTTGTAATAGAGATTGAGAATACTAGCTTTGAGACTTGATGTCGCCAAAACTTATATGAATTTTCATATCAATTATTCGTCATATTTCTTATTTATTTTTAGAAACACAAAACTTTTTAGGTGTTTAATATTTTAGTCAAATTTTATTTGGATTCTTAAACTTTAAAAGTCATTAAAGAAGGTCTCTAACATCTATTCCGTCATCAATAAAAGTTCTTTTTAAAATTTTATTAGTAAATTGACAATATGATAATTTTTTTTTATTTTCCATTTTCTCTGCTGACAGCCCACTAACTCGACCCTTCAAAGTTTTAAAATTAATCACTTAAAGTTTTGCACATTATAAACAGTCTTAAAATTTATAAACTGTTTCTAAAAGTTTTGAAAACTACAAATAACTCCCTAAAATTTTACGAAAGCCCCCAAAACATTTACAAACACCCCCTTAGATAATTTGAAAATTACAAAAACCCTAAAATCATTTGTTATTTGTAATTTTCAAAATCTTAGGCGTTTGCATGTAAATTATTAGGGAGTTATTTTTAGTTTTTGAAACTCTTAGGAGGCTATTTGTAAAATTATTGGGAGGTTGTTTGTGAAATTTAGGGGGTTATTTTTAATACTTAAAACTTTCACAGTTTTTGTAATTTTTTCAATGATTATTTGTAAACATTTTAAAGGGTTATTTATAATTTTTAAAACTTTCAGAGGGTTCATGTAAATCTTTTATGGCGTTATTTATAATTTTAAAAACTCTTGGTGTTGTTTGTAAAATTTTGGAGACTAAACTTTTAGCGGTTGTTTATAAAATTTTAGGGGTCTGTTTGGAATTTAAAAAAAATTCTAAAGATTGTTTATAACGTTCAAGACTTTTAAGGGCTTGTTCATAAATTTAAAAACTTTCAGGCGCAGTCAGTGTCCAGTCAACAAAGAAAAATAGAAATGATAAAAAACTTGTCACATCATCAACTACTAATGGAAAAATAAAAAAAGGACATATATTGATGACGAAATAAACATTAGGGACCTCCTTTGATGACTTTTAAAGTTTAAGGATCCAAATGAAATTTGGCTAAAATATTAAAAACCTATAATAAAGTTTTGTCTTTAATAGATATCTCATGTTGGATTGGTAGGATGGAAGGTGAGGTGAGATGAGGGGAAATGGATTTGCATTTAGCAAATTGACAAGATACAAAAGAAGAGAGAAAATAAACTATATAAAGATGTCCTTCCTCTTTCTCGATGTCTATCCCCCACGATATTACACCTTCCCTCATCTCCTTTTCTTTTCAAATGCCCTACCAAACAGTGCCCAAAGAGGATTTCTACATTAAGGATTGTGGAGCACACAAACACCACAAACACTAACGAGTACAAGCACCAAACAACACATAGAGTTTTCTACGTGGTTTGGCAAAACATGCATACATCGACTGTTTTTTAGAAGGGAAATTTACTAGCTTCACAAACCAATACAACCAATATGATCAACACAATTGATACAAGTTTTGCACAGACAGACTCAAAAATCCTCGCACATGTCACATCTCTCAAGTAATCTGACAACACATATCACTCAAGAGCTCCAAGAGGCCATCATCAAAACTACATCACTCGAAGAACTCGAGAACACTGATCACTCAAGAGCTCTAAGAAAATCCTCCCTCTCACTTAGAGGATGACCTTCCCTCAGCACAACATTCTTTTATAGCCTCCAATTAGAAGTTCAAAGAACTGACCTTTAATGCATTGGTCATATGAGATTTAGGAAGAATCTTTAAATTCTAACCCCAACCCATATATTTTGTTAAGGTGCAAATTCAACATATATTTAAGTTATAAATCTTAAATTTATCATTTCAAGATGTTTTTAGTGTTCTTGATCTAATTCTCTTAAGTTGTGTCACTAAATAAGTTCAGTTTCTGTATATCCATCATTGTAAATAATTCCTACAATTGATTTTGTGGGTTAATAATATTGACTCATTTAGTGAATCTCATGATTAAAAGAATTTTTTGTACAATTTACGTAAATAATAACATGCATAATCATAAAGTGGGGAGATACGATTAGTAAGTTGCAAAAGTCCCCTACTACCAAAATGGTAGAGGATCTCTGTTTAGTCCTCTATTATTCGGCAACATCAATACAAAATAGGCCCAGCTTTAGGATCTACTTATATATATAAATGGTATATGCATATTTTTCTGAAGGAATCCAAAGTCAAAAGTTCAGATAGGAAACAGATATCCTTATCTGACCCTTTGTCCTTTTAACTTATATTAAAAATATTGATTGATAAAGCTTAATGTTTAATCTCGGATTGTTGAGGGATATTTTACAAGGTTTCTACGTAGTTCCAAGGTGTTAAAAGAAATGCAGGAAACAAGAAACAAAAGCAGAGAGAAACTACAAGCTGTACAAGAGAAGGGATGTTGCTATCAACACCATTTCAAACACCTTGCCCTCAGTTATAGATGCAGTATCTGACGTTTTCTGCTTTGCAACAATTGAACTTCCATTAGCAGCCTTTGGTGGCTCACCACATTGCCCATATGTGCCATTTACCTGCTCATTAAAGGGGGGAAAAAGATTTACGTGACAGTAAAAAGATCAGATTCGAGTACGAATCACAGATAAAAATAAAGATACGTCTCTGTAAGGAAAACTGATATTCATATTTGCTAAAATAGAATATGATACGAATAAGATATAAACAGACATACAAAGGATATTAGGAAAAGAAATAACATTGGTCGCATGACACAAGAGATGTTTAAAATACTATTAATTTCTTAAATGCGAGTACATTAATATCATCGACATATTTGAAAATTTTAGACGTTCTAGATCATCAAAACTGATTTCAAATCTACAATATGGTCAAACTGATTATGACTATATGATCAGTATATATATTCGGGTAATCAGATATATATGGATCTCAATATTTTACTTACAAATCTGTATCCATATCCTATTGGGTATGGATATCCTTATTCTAAAGGATATGGATATAGATATATTTGTAGATATACGTATCAGTTTTGCATCCCTAACTCTGACCACACATGTGTGATGTAGCCTACATTTTTGTTAAATTCCAGGCTAACAGTCTCTTAGCACAACAATAGAGAAATTGTTGTCATACAATGATATTCTCAAATGCCTCACAGACTTGCAACTTCACTCTCTGTTAATAATTATTTTATGATTTATGATTTTCGGGCAAAGGAAAATAATAAAATATTTCTAGCAGATAAAAGTGTCAATCAAACCTTGCAGCTGACAATATTGTTGCATCCACAAACCAAATGTCCATTGGCTATATCTATAGCCTCTGGAGATCCTCCTCCATCGCTCCTCTGCATTGAGACGCAATCAAATCTTCATAAAAATGGCTTTAAATCATCAAAGCTAATGTTTATATCACACTACCTTATAGAAATCAACAGCAATGAAGTTAGGCCATCTATCGCCCGACGCATTGTGGCAAGTGTTCATCATGTTCTCAAGAGGAGCCGAATTGTCCTTGCACGACGTAACAAAATCAGGCGTGTCTCTGAAATAGTTCATCAGAACCAAAGACCTTGATTTGGTGTTCATGGTCGATGATTCTGCACGATTTGGGCACGAACCCTCCTTCATCCCTCCATTTCCGTCTGCAAATAGTTAAAGAAACGAGTAAATTCCACAAAATGACAACTAGTATGAACTTTCAGATATTTCACACACAACTATCTTAAAAAATTTTTATTATAGAAAACTATCATGAATTTCATAACCAAAGAAAAGTATCAAAAATTGTTGCTAACATGTTAACGTCTAGGATAAAATGTCTAAAGTATAATGTTTGAATTTATCGACCGACAAAACACATAAAGATAATATAGAAGATACATAAAGTACATAAGGGGTAAATTGTCCTGAACAAGACATACTTTCTAGGGTCAATTGTGACTAGACCCCTCGTAGTATCACCCCATTGTGAATAGACCTCATGTAGTTCTACTCGTGCGAGTAGACACTCTATAGTATTGGCCCAAGTGCGAATATGCTCCCTTATTGAACTTTTTTGACTCTTTTAAAAGCCAAAAAAGATTAGCAATTGGGGATTTATCCTCATCAATAGAACTGTAGGTGGTCTATCCGCCTCCTCAAAAGCTTTTAACGATTTTAAGAGGAAAAAAGTTCACTCAGAAGTTCTATTTGCACAAATAGATTACAGAGATCTATTCACAGGTAACCCTATTTTCTAACTAGCTTCAGGCGTGATAACATACTGAGAAAAATTAACCATATTTTATCTAACAAATAGTTTAGTGCGAAAACACTCCAATCCTATGATAGTTTTGTGAAAGTAACTCTTACGAGAGAAATCAATAACCAACACAATTTATTCACCAATAAATGAGTTTGGGGAAAATGCTTACATTGGTTTTCTACTACATATCTCCATTCATAAGCAATGCCCTCTGAGGCCTCTTTGGAGGATTTGGAAGTGAATACAAGCAGTCTCTGGTTCTTGTTGATCATATCGCTCAACAAAGGCCAATTGCCGCCATTTTTAGGAATTCTTGATACAGGAAACAAGTACTTTGTAAGGCCAGCAGCATTGAAAACCTTGGTGAGACCTCGGGGAGAAGTAACATAATCTTCGATGAATATGGTTATTATCTCCGAAGGGTTTTCTTGGAGGAATGTTTGGATTTCGTTGAGTACGTTGATAACAGGTTGCTAATCGAACGATTATATGCGATTGTTTAGTTAGAAGATTGACAAATGAATAAAGAGAAAGAAAAAGGTTAGTTTTTTGTGAAATTGATCTTACGAAGGCTGTGAAGTTGTAGCATTTCCCACCAAAGGAGTGACACAACCAAATATCACTCTCGAAATCGTACATGTCCAACATTAATCCTCTCACACCATTCTGCATAAAATTAATAATGAATTAAAATTCAGTATATTGTATTTAGTCAATTAGATAAAACGAGAAGTAAAATTACACTCTAACAATGCAACAGTATAATGTTACTGTCCATTGCCAAGTTTTTTTCAAATCATTTTCATATATCTTTCTCAAGGTTCAATATGTTTTGTCCCGTTGATTATACAGATTGATTCAGACATGTCACCAAATTTGACTTTTATTCTGACAAAGATATTCACTTCTGATTTACTCTTGCAAGTCTCAAATAACTTTAAGCAACCATCAGCCTCATTGTCTGACAATATGTAAAAAGATCACCCGAAAAGTAAATAAATTGTCGATAAGGTTCCATACAAAATGACAGCATAAGAAAAGAGATCATGATTCGATCTTTTAAGGTTCATTTTTTTTGAGATTTTGGTGGCTGTTTGATAGCTCAAACGCAGCATGTTATCAATTGGATTTGGGTTGGAGTGCTGAGATGACGAAGGATATCAATATCAAAGAAGTATATTACAACTTAGGGACTCTCCAATATTGTGCCAAAAGAGGATTCAAGATTCTTGTGCTGTGTGGCTATAAGCATTGAGAAGAAAACAGAGGAGACAACTAGAGAAAGAAACAGACTTTAATGAGACACTTGGGTTCAAATGGGCTTTTCTCAGGCAACTAAGCGAACGCATTTATAATAATTATTTGGTCTTATCATTTGTTGATCTTGTGGATGAGCTTGGAACAAACTTTGTGGTTGTTAGAGCATCTCCAACAGCCTCCCTATCTCATGTCCTAGACTAAATATAGAGAGTATGAGGGGAAAAATTGCTCCAACAGGCTCCCTATGTTGGAGACTAAATATAGGGAATATGATTTGGTATTCCAAATTAAGGATAACAAAGTGACTCCCTATATTTAGTCTCAACATAGGGAGCATTGTTGGAGCAACTTCCCCCAAAAGAAATACAAACAATATTGAAACGAATATGGTTTTCTTTGATGATTTGTATTGATTCATAACATCAATATATATACAGATGTGATATATTATAAATGGAAATAAATCCCATGATTTAAGCTCTAATCAGCCAGCACATTTGCTATTATGTAGGATCTGAAATATAGGCATGTTGGCTAATTTACAGGGAAAGATTAAGGGGCTATGATCAAGCTTAGAATCAGCTATCAATTATCCTCATTCAATTCCTTTTCTTCAATACTCCCCTTCTAACTGGTCTGGGTTTGTTGAAGAAGACCAAGTTTGGTTTTCAACACATGGAATTGATCTCTAGGTAAAGGCTTGGTGAAGAGATCAGCAAGCTGCTGTTTGGAACTAACAAAGCGCGTGACAAGAGAACCAAGAGCGACCTTCTCCCTTACAAAATGATAATCAATCTCTATATGCTTAGTTCTAGCATGGAAGACCGGATTAACTGTCATGTGAAGTGCAGCCATATTGTCACAAAATAAAAGTGCAGGTTGTGACTGGAAAATCCCAATATCACGAAGCACAAAGCACAACCATGTGAGTTCTGCAGTAGTTGAAGCTAAGGCTCGATATTCTGCTTCAGCGCTTGACCTGGACACTGTGGGTTGTTTCTTAGCACTCCAAGAAATACAATTTGCACCCAAAAAGGTACAATAGCCTGTAGTAGAACGACGAGTCTCTTTACAACCTGCCCAATCTGCGTCACTGAATCCATATAGATCAAGTGTACTGTGGGCTAAAATTCGCATGCCATGACTCAAAGAACCCTTCACATATCTGAGTATCCTTTTGACCATCTGATAATGAGCATTTGTTGGTGCTTGCATATGTTGACATACGATGTTGACAGCATAAGAAATATCAGGTCTTGTTATGAGCATTTGTTGGTGCTTGCATATGTTGACATACGATGTTGACAGCATAAGAAATATCAGGTCTTGTTAGAGTAAGATATTGTAAGGCTCCCACAAGACTACGATATAACTTTGCATCAGAGAATAAATTGTCACTTCCTTGTGAAAGGGAAGGTTTTGCTACCATTGGTGTCGCAATGGGTTTACAATCACTCATGGAAGCACGATGCAACAATTCTGAAGCATACCTAGTTTGAGAAAGAAAGAGTCCTTTGGCATTTCGAGTAACTTCAATTCCAAGGAAGTAGTGCAAAGGACCGAGATCCTTCATGGAAAATTTTGAGTGCAAGTCATGAATCAAATCAGTAATGAGGGAATCCGAGCTACCTGTTAGGATGATATCATCAACGTAGAGAAGCACAATAAGTACATGATTATCATGATGATATACAAACATTGAAGGATCAGCAACGCTGCAATAAAATCCACAATTCAGTAAAAATTCACTGAAACAGTCAAACCATGCTCTCGGTGCTTGTTTCAGTCCATATAATGCCTTTATAAGACTGCAAACATGTCGAGGACGTAAGGGATCAACATAGCCTGGTGGCTGCTCCATGAAAACCGGAATATCAAGATTTCCATGAAGGAAAGCATTCTTGACATCAAGTTGTCGAATTGTCCATCCACGAACAACCGCTACAGTGAGAACAATGCGAATGCTTCCTGGTCTTATCACAGGGCTAAATGTCTCCATAAAATCAACACCTTCTTCTTGATTGTACCCTTTCGCCACCAATCGTGCCTTAAGACGGTCAAGAGTACCATTTGCTTTGAGTTTTGTCTTGAAAACCCAACGACACCCAACAATATTCATTGTTTCTAAGCGAGGAACTAGATCTCATGTTTGATTTGATGCGAGAGCTTTCATCTCCTCATCCATAGCTAGCTTCCAACCTGGATGCTTGAGAGCAGATTTAACAGTACGAGGCTCAGAAGGAATATTGATGACAGTGAGATTAACATATTTGGGATTAGGCTTGAGTATGCCATGTCTTGAACGTGTCACCATGCCATGAGATTGATCACTAGCCAATGGTTGAGCATTATCTTCCTCTTGTGGAATTGAGGACCTTTGTTGCGCATCCTCCTGAGATTCCACAATAGAAGAGGTTTGTTGCCCATGGGTCTCCAGAGAAGTTTCTTGTGCTGGAATTTGTTGAACATGAGCTTCTTGTTCTGGAGTTTGTTGAACAGAAAATTCTTGAGAATTATCATGTTGCTCAAAATCGGTAGCTTGAGTATGGGTAGTAGAAGAATCTCCAAACATCCTTGCTCGTTCCAATCCACTGTCAGTGTTAGAATCACTTGGGAAATTATGAAGCGAAGTTGCAGTAGTATAGGGCTCCCCTTCACCTTGTGCTACACGAGGAAATTTAGAATTGACAGCAAAAGGAAAATTGGCTTCATCAAAGATCACATGTCTAGAGATGTAAACACGTCCAGTAGGAATATATAGACAACGATATCCCTTATGTTTGTCACTGTATCCTAAAAATACACATGGCAGAGATCTTTTATCAAACTTGTTAGAAGCATTATGCCTTAAGTATGGATAACAACATGCACCAACATGGCAGAGATCTTTTATCAAACTTGTTAGAAGCATTATGCCTTAAGTATGGATAACAACATGCACCGAAGGTTCGGAGAAAAGTATAATCAACTTGCTTCTTGTAAAGTATTGCAAATGGAGATCTCATGTTAAGAGTTGAAGAGGGCAAACGATTAATCAGGAAATTTGATGTAGTAAAAGCTTCAACCCAATATCGACGTGGAACTGAACTATGTAAGAGCATTGCAAGTCCTAATTCAACTATATGTCGGTGTTTACGCTCAACAACACTATTTTGCTCAGGTGTTCCAGGACATGACATTTGATGTTTAATTCCATAATTAGCCAAGTGCTCCACAAACTCAGTCTTATTAAACTCTCCTCCACCATCTGACTGAAAAATTTTGATTTTCTTGTCAAATTCATTCTCAACCAGTTTATGAAATTTCAAAAAAACACCAAAGAAATCTGATTTTCTTCTCAAAGGATAAAGCCAAGAATATCTAGAAAAATCATCAATTAACACAACATAATACTTGAACTGTTGTACTGAAGAAAGAGGAGCAGGTCCCCACAAATCACAGTGAATCTTTTGTAAATGAGACTCTGAAATAGACTTTGAAGAAGTAAAAGGAAGCTTAGTACTCTTGCTTAGCTGACAACTTTCACATAAACCATGGAAACTTTTATTGACTCTAATAAATTTATTCTTGCACAGAAACTGAAGTACTTGTTGATTAGGATGCCCAAGCCTCCGATGCCAGACTTCCTCATTTGCTACTTGAGATCTGTTAGAGAAAAAAGCTGAACTTGGTGGCTTGTCCAAGGCATACAATCCTCCTCGCTTAGTTCCCATTGCTAGAACCTGTCTTGTCTTTAGATCCTTGATTGCAAAGTTATTTTTGTCAAATTCAAAATAACATGGATAGTCTTGAGTAAGTTGAGAAACAGATAGTAAATTTTTCTTAATATCTGGCACAACTAGCACATCTTTCAGAGGAATATCATGTGAACTAGTAGAAATGTGACCCACTCCAATATGTGAAATTGGAAGACATTTTCCATCTCCAATCATAACAGAATCACTACCATAATAAGGCACCAAAATTTGAAGCTTACCAGGATTATCAGTGACATGAGCTGAGGCTCCAGTATCTGGATACCAATCTGTAATTTGTTCTTCTGTCAAGTGAGTAGCTGCCATAGCATGTGGTAGTTCCTCTGCTTGATAACTATTGTTAAAACGATGCCAACATCTCAAAGCATCATGCCCAACCTTTTTGCAGATTTGACAAACTAGTGAATTGGGACGAGTGCTGCTTGATTGCTTGTTTGTTGAAGATTCAATGCTGCGAGAACTTTGATTTGAAGGAGAGAATCCTCGCCCCTTGGAAGTAAAAGAGGAGAAACCATCACCATTAGTATTGTAATGTTTAGAAGGAGAGAATCCTCGCCCCTTGGAAGTAAAAGAGGAGAAACCATCACCATTAGTATTGTAATGTTTAAAATGATTTTTGTTACCTCCATTATTATAACGATTTCCTCCATGTCGATGAGATCCGCTGTTTCTTTGTGAGATGAAAGCCAATGACTGATCTGAATTAGATAGACTCTTCTTATTACGTAATTCAAAGCTTTGCAACAAGGGAACAATCTCAGCATAAGAGGGCAGTGGAGGGCGAAGCATTGTTGTTGTGAAAGCTTCATACTTAAGACCAAGGCCTTCCAGCAATCGATATACCTTTGTGTCATCTGAAACTGGCTTTCCAATAGCATTCAACTGATCACAAATAGACTTGAATTCTCTCAAATAATTAGCCAATGGTTTGGTCCCTTTCTCAACATGTTGAAGCTGAGACATTAATTCAAATTCTCTTGCAACACTACTTTGAGTAAAATGCTCAGTTAAAGCATTCCATACCTGGGCTGCTGTTGACAACCCTACGGCAAGGCCAAGAACATCTTCTGAGAGAGTCCCTATGACCCATGATTTCACCAGTTGATCTGTGCGAACCCAGGAAACATAGGCTGGATTTGTTGACTCCTTCTCTGTGCCTATATCATTTATGGCTGGAGGAGCAACTTTTTCACCAGTTAGAAAACCAAGTAAGTCCTGAGATTCAACCAGAGACATTACTTGTGTTTCCCACAACAAATAATTATTTTCATTGAGTTTGAGTGTGACAAAATTGGCAATGTTGATATTGGAGGGAAAGGGATATGTGTTTTGGGAAGACATGGCTGAACAAGAGAAGGTTTAGTGTGCTCTTGTATAGCTCTGATACCAAAAAGAAATACAAACAATATTGAAACGAATATGGTTTTCTTTGATGATTTGTATTGATTCATAACATCAATATATATACAGATGTGATATATTATAAATGGAAATAAATCCCATGATTTAAGCTCTAATCAGCCAGCACATTTGCTATTATGTAGGATCTGAAATATAGGCATGTTGGCTAATTTACAGGGAAAGATTAAGGGGCTCCTATATTTAGTATAAGACATGAGATATGGAGCCATTTGGGAGCATTGTTGGAGCATTTACTCCTTATTTGGCTCCCTGTTTTCTAAGATGAAAGATTTGCTCATCAAATATAGGGAAAATCTAAGATCACTCTTGGAGATGCTCTTATATCTTAAATAGTGAAATTTATACCCTATAAAAAAGCTCGCAGATACCGATATAACTAAAAGCAGTTGTCTACTCATTAAAAACCAAGGAGAACTAGACTATCACTCAACTTCACAAATTAGCATTTTATACAAAGAAACATAGAAGAAGAAACATATGAAATTAGCAGAGGAGAATACAATCACACACCCAGTGACAAAAAACCAGTTCAACTACTTCAATTATTAACGAGGAGGAAGAAGTTTTAAGTCAAAAGATATAACCATCCACGTGTTTCTCTATTTTCACATTGGCATACAACCGGCCACCAAGTCTTTATCTTGACCACAACTTCCAAAAATAAATAAATAAATAAATGAGTAAAAGGACACCAAATTAGGTGCTAGTCATTATTAAGCTAATTATATGGCATAATATTTAAGTTAAGCAAAAATTAGATACATTATAAGCCATCATAATATTTAAGTCTAACCACATGTTTCTCTATGTTTTCACATTGGAATGACAACTGGCCCCAAGTCTTTTATTTTTCGACCAAAGTTTAAAAAGGGCCAAAAAAAAAAAAAAGCCAATATTCACACCCTTACTTTACGAAACAAATGACCTCTTGACCAATCGCGTGTAAGTTAGCACCCTGCCTAACGATACGCTACCGTCTACGGCAAGGGGCGCAGGTTATCGAGCGCCCTAGCGTCAGTCTGAAACAAACACGAGCACACCGCGGTTGAAAACGAGTAGGATGCCAACACGTCATTTACCGTATCCGCATTAAAATTCGTGCAAAAGAATATCCGAGCGCGTTAAGAGCGGTAACCGCACATCAGAGTGGGGTGTTGGTGGCCGAAGATTAAGGAGCATGTTTGCATACGATCAATTGCTATATATACATTATTTCATGGTAAGTTGCACATAAAATACCTAGTTTACAATACATTTACCGAAATACTGTACATACATATATATATATATATATGGTATGATACGCATACGTGTTGTAACAAGTAGTTAGGGCCGTATGATCAGAATACCGCATAGAACGGGATGATTTATACCATTTACAGGTGGTTTAGAAGAATAAATTGAAAATTGTGATTATTTAATTAACATGGTAAATCGCCCCCACTCCTGTACTCCGTGCTTACGATAAAATTTAGTAGTCTAAGAAAATAACTCTGGACGCTCGTGTAGTCGTGTTGCGTTCAATACTATTGTTACGGGCCAATTAATGGTGAGGGGTAAGCTGCTTACGTTGAGCTGGGCGGTGACCGTATCCTGCTGGTTGGTGGGAGCAATTACGGGCGTCCCCGTGAGCGACCTCTGACCGAGCCTAGCGAACGAGTTGTGCGTCGTCAGCCAAGAGTACCGGTTAAACGGCAGATTCGCCCCCTGAAACTCCCAAATTTGCATATATATGGTCACCCTCCAAACGATAAGCGCTAACAACTACGAGGGGGGTTTTGTGCAAAAAAGTGACCTTGGATTTGGGGTCTTCGGGCCGGACGCGGGTGCACCGAGGCAGGACGTTGCCGTCGGCGACGCAGGTCTCGCAATGCAGACCCGCGTCGCAGCTGCGGTCCGCTATGCATGTGGACCCCATCTGAGTAAAACAAAAATTTTTTTTAGAGAGAGAGAGAGAGTCATGAGATTCAAAGTAACAAAAGGTTTTAGAGAGAGAAAGAGGAAGAAGTTAACAATAGAAAATCACCTTTGCAGCGTGAGAGAGATTGAAGGTACATACTGCTAGTAGTAATGAAAGAACCGGCAATGGAGATCTCTGCATAATCCTAAGTTAGAGAGAGAGAAGAGAGAGAGAGAGAGAGAATGAGAATGAACGAATGAATGTATCAAATGTTTTTTGTTGGGATTCAAAAAGGGGTAAGCTTCAATCGCTGCGTATAGTGGCAGTATCGTAATTATTGAGGGTTTCGAGGGTAAGGAATGATTTTGAGTGTGCTGAAAGGATACGCTTGGTTATGTTTTTTGTAATTAGTTTTGTGCACGCGTGAATGTCTTAACATTTTGCATACCCTTATATAAATAATGTTAGGGGCACACCCCCTAACACACCACCAACCACACCCCCCTCTCTTATCGCTACAGTAAACCGGGTCCTACATGAGATTTTAAAAATTTTAAAATCCCATGTGGGGCCCGGTTTACTGTAGCGATGAGAGAGGGGGGTGTGGTTGGTGGTGTGGTAGGGGGTGTGCCCCTAACACCACTCCCCTTATATTTTAGCGCTTGTGAACAGTTTTAGTATTCGAGAATAACAATAATTTTAATTATTTTCTTTATAATTAGAACGGTTAATTCTTAATCTTTCTAAATATGAGTATTAGTAAACCCCTTATTTTGAGGGATTAACTCATTTTAATCCATCTAGAGGGGTTAGCTTTTTTATGTTTGACAAATTATGGAGGGTTAACTCACTTTAACTCTTGTATAGATTTTTTGTATTTGGCGGGTTAAGAAGGGGTTAAGTCTCCTTAACCCCTTACTTAACCCTTTGCTAAACAGTATATTAAGTCTCTAGTCGTCGTGAATTGCACGTCTTACTCAAAATTTGTCCAATTTTTTTGCAGCGGTGTTGTTAAAACTTAAATTAAGGGAAAATAATTGAGAAAGCTCATCGAAAATCTTACACACACACACACACACACACACACACACACACACATATGTTTAGGGCCTGTTTGTTTCACCAATTTTATGGAATAGGAATGGTATTTGGACCTGACAATGGCGTTTTCGTAATTAATGGATTCCAAATGAATCCTAATCTTGAGTTTGGTTCAAAAAAAATTTATAGAATTGCTAATCTATATCTATAAAGTGGCTCAAACAGTGTATATTTCAGGAAATCCAAATCCAGTCCATTTGCTAGGAATTGGGTGGAATTTCTGACACCTCTCCTTTTTTTTATTCTGATTCCTAATCCTTTGGGTGAAACAAACATAGAATACAAAAAAAATAGGATTCCATAAAACTAAAACTTGTCTATAAATTTTTTATGGATTAGGTTGGAATCCATAAATAAAATAGGATTCCTAATCCTATTGCTACCCTCTATTGAACCAAACAGGCCCTAAACATAGGATATAATAGAATTCATTGAAAACCTCAATAATATATGTTTGATCCATAAAGAGGAAACGCAAGCGGCGCACCTAGAGCAGCTTTGGGCTATGATTGGGCCAGGCTTCTGCTAGTTCTAGATAGAGCCTGTTTATAATGAGTGGGCTTTGCGTTTATTTGTATTTATTTTTTTCCTAATTTAGCTTGCCTGTAATCTTTTAACGGATTTTTAATGGAAAAATATCACACAGAGGGCCTCCCCATAGGAATCCATACAGAGGGGGAGAAACATGTTATAATTGTCACAACGTCAATTTGAAAGAAGGTAATCCCTAATCATAGATTCATATACTATTTGCACAAAGTTCAGTATTTTGCTTGCATAGATAATTTATCTAGCTGCACTAGTTTTTGCATATTGCCTGCATTGATTTACGAATTGATAGGTTATTTTTATAAGTGTGGATAGACCCTCTTTACTATAGTCAATTGCCAATTGCAGATAAACCCATGTAGTTCTATCAGTGTGGATAGACACCCCCCACCCCGAAGTGAACTTTTTTTTTTGGACTCTTTTTTATTGGTACAAGTGGAACTACAAGGGTCCTATCCATAATTGGGCGATAGTACAGGGGTCCACAAAAATCAACCGTATTCACTCTCTCCTCCAAATTGTCAACACACTTCCAAATAGTTTTCAGAAAATAAATAACCTCTCTACTATGCAGGCGTGCCAAAACTTCAAAAGAAGTCGGTTGTTGCTCATAGAACCAGTACGGAAACAAGAGAGATTATTGCGTTTAAACTTTTTCTTACGTAAAAAAATTCTAGCACTATATATGGTATTGCAAAATAATGCAGAAAGAGACTTCAGTTTCTTAATAAATAAAAATAAAAATAAACCAAAAACTGGTCCCTTTATTGTTTAAACTTCTAACACGAGGACACCATAGAATCAAATGATCCAAAACGTAGACGGCAACAGTCGGCTTGATAGTTTCTTAATTTTCTCCATGCAGTCTCAGCTCCTTGCTTTTGATTTTGCTGGAAATGAAACGAATAAAGTTCGCATATGATTCAATAAAGACCCGATCAAGGAGCAATCTACTAGATGGCTGGTTCTACCGCTGGACGGTTAGTCATATGCTCTGCTCTTGCCGGCCTCGCAACCTTCGCCATTATTTATATCCTCCTCCATTTCCAAACTATTCAAACTCAACCATTAAACATGGATCATGTCCCTCATTTAATGAAGATCCTCGTAACCTCCCTCTTCTTTCTTCCCATCTCCATCTCAACGCCAAACAATGATCGCAAACCATACGTTATCCAAATGGACACCTCCTCGAAGCCTTCTCCCTTCTCTACACATGAGAAGTGGTACACCTCGATGCTCACATCGGTATCAGCTGAATCAGAAAACATCGATACCCTTCCTCCTACACATCTCTATACATACAACCACGCCTTCAATGGCTTCAGCGCCGTTCTGACCTCGTCCCAACTCCAACGTCTCAAACAAGTTCCGGGCCATCTCACAGCAATACCCGATTCCTATGCCACACTCCACACGACCCACACGCCAAAATTCCTCGGCCTTAACCCTAGATCAGGCTTATGGCCTAGCTCGAAATTCGGCAAAGACGTGATCATAGGGATTATTGATACCGGAGTGTGGCCCGAGAGTGAGAGCTTCAACGACAGAAGAATGCCACCGATACCCACAAAATGGAAGGGCAAATGTGAGAATGGAACCGATTTTAGTCCTTCTTTGTGCAACCGAAAACTCATAGGGGCTCGGTTTTTCAGCAAAGGACTCAAGAGTCATGGTTTTAACATTTCGCGGGCTGATGACTATGAATCCCCTAGGGATTTCTTCGGTCACGGTACACACACATCATCGACCGCAGCAGGGGGGCCCGTTCGTGGAGCCAGCTATTTTGGCTATGCTGAAGGAACCATGATGGGTATTGCACCTATGGCTCGTGTTGCAATGTACAAGGCTCTGTTCTCTAGTGATGACTTCAAATCAGCAGCCAGCGACGTGCTCGCTGCGATGGATCAAGCGATAGAAGACGGTGTTGACCTAATGTCACTATCGCTTGGGTTCTCCCAGAGCCCTTACTATGAGGATGTGATTGCTATCGGCGCTTTTGCAGCGATGGAGAAGGGAATATTTGTGTCGGTGTCCGCTGGAAACAGTGGCCCTCGTGCTTATACTGTGATCAATGGTGCTCCTTGGTTTACATCAGTTGGTGCAGGAACAATAGATAGAGACTACACCGCCGCAATAGCCCTAACCCTAGGTGACACCAAGAAAACTATCAAAGGGCGATCGGTTTTCCCAGAGAACATATTCATATCTAACATGTCGCTCTATTTTGGACACGGTGATATCAACAAAGAGTCCTGCAGTTACCTCTCACTAAACCAAACCGAAGTCGCTGAAAAGGTTGTGTTCTGCTCAAAATCCACTGCCACGAACCTTACCGATCAAATGAGGGAGATAGCCAGAACAGGAGCGAAAGCAGCGGTCATCGCAACCGATGTAGGACAGTCCTTAGACCCTGAAGATTTCTACATGCCTTACGTGACGGTAACATTACGAGACGGAGAAATCATAGAGGGATACGTGACAGAGAATCCAACGCCGACGGTGGATATAAAATTCATACTGACCGAACTCGGTACAAGACCAGCTCCCCAGGTCGCCGACTTCTCATCCAGAGGACCAAGCAGCATCTCTCCTGGGATCTTAAAGCCTGATATACTAGCTCCCGGTGTTAATGTACTGGCTTCTTGGGTTCCGAACAGAGGATTTGCGCCGCTTGGTGATGACTATCTAATGACAGACTACGCTCTGTTATCAGGCACATCAATGGCTTCGCCTCATGTGATTGGAATCGCGGCGCTGCTGAAATCAGCGCACCCGAATTGGAGCCCAGCGGCCGTTAGGTCTGCAATGATGACGACTGCGGACACAACCGATAACACTGGCGGTCAAATTAGAGACATGGGCATAGGGAGAGCGGCGAGCCCTCTTGATTTCGGTGCTGGGCATGTAAACCCTAACAAGGCGATGGATCCGGGTCTGGTTTATGATATCGTGCTGGCTGATTATATGGATTTCCTCTGTGGGCTCAATTACACTAGTCTACAGATTGGGGCTATTACTACGAGATATGGGTATACTTGCACGAGAGCCAATCTCGACCTCAATTACCCTAGCTTCACCGTCATCCTCGAAACTAACTATTCGAGCAAAGTTTTCAAGAGGGTTCTGACGAACGTTGGGGGCTATCCGACCAGTTATCAAGCGGCGATCAGCGAACCGGAAGGGATGAAGGTGACAGTTGAACCTCAGGTGCTGCATTTTGAAGGGAAGGCTAGCAAGCAGGAATTTTCAATGAAGGTTGAAATTAACCTAGAAGATGTTGTTGGAGGGAAGACAACGGATGGGGGCTATATTGGTAATTATGGGTTCTTGAGCTGGATCGAGGTCGGAGGAAAACATGTAGTTAGGAGTCCAATAGTTTCTGCTTTCGCTCCTACAGGAGGAGGAAAGCATTAACTTTACCCGCGCTCAAATTCAAGGGTAATAGCCCTCAGCGTTGTCGGGGGTTGAAATGATAGGATTTATGTTACAGCCATAAACTTTGTCGGGCTAAGTTGTTAAATAATCTGTGTGATTAATTAATGAGCACTTTTCTGGTTATATGACTTGAAATCCGCAGGGTTAAATGACAATGAATCAATTTATCATACTTCAGTAATGGCCAACATACTTCTATCCCAATTTGCCAATTTCAACTAGAAATCAAGCTAACTCTTTAACTAGCAACCAGAAATCTATATGTTTTACTTTTGGGTTAATTTCACAAAAGGTCCAACAAGATTTTTCATTCTTAATGTGTTCGGCACTTGGAATAGTCAGCCGACCCGTATCAAAAACTCTTGATTGTTTAACCCCAGATGGAATCAAGGAGAAACATAGATACCGATGATAACAATGAATCCAAAGCTTACAATGTGACCGTCTGCTTGGTAGTTTAGTTGCTTCTCAATATTGTCACAGCTTCACCTCTTGCTTTCATACAAGAAATGGAACAAAATAAGTTCTTATACAATTCCATGGACTCAAAGCATTATGGCCTGTTCTGTCACTGGACGGTTATTTATATGCTCAGCTCTTGCTGCAGGCCTTGCAATCTCGCAGTTATATATTCTCCCTTTTCCAATTCAAACTCAACCATTAAGTATGGACCAAACCTTCCATTTAATGAAGCTCCTCATAATCTCCCTCTTCTTTCTTCCAGTCTCAATCTCATCATCAACACCACAGAATGATCACAAACCATACATCATCCAGATGGATGTCTCTTCGAAGCCTTCTCCCTTCTCGACTCACGAAGAGTGGTATACTTCAATGCTCACATCACTATCAGCTGAATCAGAATCCCTCGACACCCTTCCTCCTACCCACCTCTATACATACAACCATGCCTTCAATGGCTTTAGCGCCGTATTATCCTCCACCCAACTCCAACGTCTCAAACAAATTCCAGGCCATCTTGCAGCGATACCAGATTCCTATGCCAAACTTCACACAACCCACACGCCAAAATTTCTTGGTCTCAACCGTGGATCAGGCCTATGGCCTAGTTCAAATTTTGGTGATGGTATGATTATAGGGATTATAGACACTGGAATTTGGCCCGAGAGTGAGAGCTTCAATGATAAGGAAATGCCACCGATACCCACAAAATGGAAGGGGAAATGCGAAAATGGAACTGACTTTAGTTCTTCCCTCTGCAACCGAAAGCTCATAGGAGCTCGGTTTTTCAGCAAAGGCCTCAAGAATCAAGGCCTCAACATTTCACGGGGCCAAGATTATGAATCCCCTAGGGATTTCTTAGGTCACGGTACACATACATCATCGACTGCAGCAGGTAGGCCCGTTCATGGAGCGAGCTATTTCGGCTATGCTGAAGGAACCATGATGGGGATTGCACCTATGGCTCGTGTTGCAATGTACAAGGCTGTCTTCTATAACGACAATTATGAAGCTGCATCAAGCGACGTGCTGGCTGCCATGGATCAAGCTATAGAAGATGGTGTTGACCTAATTTCACTCTCACTCGGGTTCTTCAAGACTCCTTACTATGAAGACGTTATTGCTATTGGAGCTTTTGCAGCGATGGAGAAGGGGATATTTGTGTCTGTGTCTGCTGGTAACGGTGGTCCTCATGCTTACACTGTGATCAATGGTGCTCCTTGGTTCACATCGATCAGTGCAGGGACAATAGATCGAGACTACATTGCCACAGTAACCCTAGGTGACACCAAGAAAAAAATCCAAGGGCGATCAATGTTCCCAGAGAACATATTTTTATCTAACGTATCACTTTATTTTGGCCAAGGAAATGTCAGCAAAGAGTCCTGCAGCTATCTTTCTCTAAACCAAACCGAAGTGGCAGAAAAGGTTGTGTTCTGCTCAGAAACCGTTAATGATAACATCTACACTCAAATGATGGAGATCGACAGAGTAGGAGCCAAAGCAGCAATATTTGCTTCTGATATGGGACAATTCTTAAACCGCAAAGATTTCTACAGGCCATATGTAGCGGTGTCGATACAAAACGGAGACATTATAAAGAAATATGTAAGGGGAAGATCAACGTCAACGGTGGATATAACATTCATATTGACTGAACTGGGCACAAAGCCAGCTCCTCAAGTTGCCTACTTCTCATCCAGAGGACCAAGCAGAATCACCCCAGGGATATTAAAGCCCGATATACTAGCTCCTGGAGTCAATATCTTGGCCGCTTGGGTTCCAAATAGAGGATTTGCACCAGTAGGTGATAACTATCTAATAACAGACTATGCTCTTGAATCAGGCACATCAATGGCTTCACCTCATGTGATTGGTATCGCAGCGATGCTGAAATCAGTGCACCCGAATTGGAGCATGGCGGCCATTAGGTCTGCGATGATGACAACCGCAGATATAACTGACAATACCGGCGGTCAAATTATAGACGAGACCACAGGGACAGCAGCAACACCTCTTGATTTTGGTGCAGGGCATGTAAACCCTTCTAAGGCGATGGATCCGGGTTTAGTTTATGATATCGGGTTGGATGACTACATGGATTTTCTCTGTGGGCTTAATTACACGAGTTCACAAATGGCAGTTATTACTAGGAGACCTGGGTATGTTTGCGCTAAGGCCAATCTTGATCTCAATTACCCTTCTTTCGCCGTTATCCTCGAAACTAACCGTTCCAGCCAAGTTTTCAAGAGGGTTTTGACAAACGTTGGGGGTTATCCGACCAGTTATCAAGCAGTGATCAGTGCGCCAAAAGGGATGAAAGTGAGAGCTGAACCTCAGGTGATCAACTTTGAAGAAAAGGATAGCAAACAGGAATTTTGGATGAAGGTGGAAATTAACTTAGACGTTGTAGACGAAGGAAAGACAATAGAGGGAGATTACATAGGTAATTATGGGTTCCTAAGCTGGATTGAGATCGGAGGAAAGCACGTGGTTAGGAGTCCAATAGTTTCCGCCTTTGCTCCTTAGTGCTCAAATCAGAGGGCAACAGTCCTTAATGTATCTGCAATGGTCTTATTCTGTTCTAACATAAGTTGCTGAGTTTCACTAGAAGGAACTCGACCACCAAATGGTAAATGTATCTTCATAGTTTTAATTTAAGTTAAAACACTTGGTGAAGAGATCCAAGGATGCAAAACTTCACAAATCACCCATGTATGATCCATCACAACGCGACAACAACAACATGCAATGCAAGAATCAACACCCATAAAAATGTGCACATAACATCAAAGATACCGATCGAGAACCTCCACAAACGCCTCCGAGCACATCAAATATCTACTAAAGACATACAAAGCATAGAGATCAATGCCATAAATTAAGCCTACCAACATGCATAAACACCAGCATGACGATATTCTAATAAGCGCCATCAGAAGAACAACCCTTTTAACACTAACCCAACAGCATCTAATCGCAAGAAATTGGCACGATACCACACAGCAACAAACACACTTCATCCAAATTAAATGCCCAACAACCAAAACACCTAACATGCATATGTAGTTTATAGATCAATCAAATAAAAATGGGATGGTGGGATCGGATCACCTCCGGCATTGAGTAATCCTGCTGCAGCCTCTAGAGTAAGGATGAGCAGGCCCAGAGGCTCTATAGCAGTTGTGGGTGTAGTAAGATCTCCCAGACCTCGGCGGGCACGGGATTCTGTTGGCGGAGAGAGCTCCGTAGGAGATGTAAGAGCGCCTCCGATACCAAGACAGGGACCTCCTTGCGCCCTTAATGGGGGGAGAATCAGACCCAAACGCTTCAGGGTCTTCAACGTCGTCTTCCTCGGCTCCAAATGGGTAAGCTGGGTACATGGAGTGGGCGTATGGGGGCCATTCAAGAGTGAGGTTGGTTTCTTCTACTTGCGCTCTTGCTAGCAATGATGGGTTTTGAGCGTGAGGAGCAATGAGGAGGAGGAGGAGGAGGAGGAGGGAGGAGAGAGACATTGGGAACCGTGCGTTTGAGAGGGACACTGAGGGAGGCGAGGGAGGGAGAATTAAAGAAAGGGGAGAACTTTACATGAGAATTCACGTGATAATCTGTAATTTGCAAATTCAGACCACCTGAAAAACCTTTTGCAGGTCCAGTTCTGATAAATCCTACCCCGGTTGATCAAGGGAAAAAGTAGAAGAGATGCCTATCATGTTTATCCAGACAAAAGGAAAAGTAATCCCAATAATAAGCAAGAAATAAGAGAACAATTCCAAAATGAATAGTTTCGTATCTTCTTCTCATAATTTTTTTTTTATTTTATCGTTGTACTATTCCGGGCTATTTACACTTGAAAATGAAGGTTATGATCGCTGATCGTTATCAATAAGCTGGCAACATTGTATTTCTTTTGTCTCTCCTGAAAAATATTCATTAAAAATATAAATGAAAAAAGCAAGAGCTAATGATCTACCATATTGAATGAAAGTGTTGTTATTCTATGAGTTTAGATTTTGGAGGATTAATGACACAGGCTCATTTGTGCAAAAAGTTATATTGAGCGCAAGAAAATTCCATTACATGGGACCAAAGAAGCATATCTGAAGTTCGAGAAGGCCTTTTGTGTAAATTTGTCAATTGCAGACAGAACGGCTGGGGTACTCACATGCTCACCTTTCTCTGTGCTCAGGGCTCCCAGCTGTGCATGTGCAGCGGGTCCCTGATCAGCTGTCTTCTGCGGAACAGCATCTCTGCTGGTCAGTCCAATAAAGTAAATTGTGGGGCCCACACAACACAGGACTATATCTCAAAGACACGTCGCTGTAGAGTCGTAGATGGTGATCGAGGCTTTACAGCTGATCCTAAGGACCTGTTTGGATTTGTAGGGGTGAAGGGAAGTTGGAAACTAAGAGAAGGGAAGGGAAGGGAAGAGAAGGGAGTTTCCTTCCCCTTGGTTACACCCCAATTTGGGGGGTAACAAATTTTATACTATTAGGGAGGTGAACCAAGGGGAACTATGATGAATTAATTTCACCTTCTAAGTATTCCCAAACAAGGTGAATGGAGGTGAATGGTTTCCCTAACTTCCCTTCACTCTCATTCCCCTCAATCCAAACAAGACATAAATAAATAAATACGCGGCACCGTGTATAATGTGCCCCCAGTGCCCAGCCAATCAATTTAATGTTCTGACTGGATCTGGTTATTTCCGGTAAGCTTACCCCTTCATCGTTTCCCATTGCTGATGTAGACTGATTAGGGTTGCTAAACAGTATTCCTATATATCCGTAACTGTATCCGTTAGGATACGAATATGGTTACTCAAATCTATAACGGATAGGATATGATTACGAATATGGTTTTATAGTGAAATACCTGTATTCGTATACGAAATATCCGAATACATATTAGTCATACTCTTACGATAGTTTCGATTCGTAGATTATGGATTTGTGATTAATTTTGATAATCAAGATGCCTAATCTTAACTTTTCAATTATAATGAACATATTAATGAATTCTTTTGTATCACATGAACTATGTTTTTCTCTATACTATCTAGTTTTCTCATATCTGTTTTGTATCCGTATGCATATCCGCTCATATATCCGCATGTATATCCGTAACCGTATCTGATATTAACGGATATGGTTATGAATTTTTCTTACCGATGTATATTTGTATTCGTATCCGTATCCGAGATGGGTAAGAGGATATGGATATGATAAGCATCATATCCGAGCCGTATCCGAACCGAGTGCACCCCTAAGCCTGATAGAATCATAGAAGCAGGATTTTAAATTAAATTGAGTTCAAATATCAGTCTTTAATTCACCGGAAGAGCACAAGGGACCCGTGATAGAATGGGCCGGTTATTTAATGGGCCCATAAGACACCCGACGTGAGCCTGGAAGCATTATTCACAAACAGTGAATTGCTCCGGCTACAACCAAGTACACATGAGAATAACGTGTTTGCTTGATTTATGACAACGACAGGGCGTCACTTCAACTTCAAGCAAATAAAAAGGAAAGAGAGAGAGAGAGAGGTCAAAGCGACACTTGACACATCATTACGCATGTGATAATATGATATCCGTTAATTTCTTGATAAAGAATATTGTTTATGATGTAAATTGTACACGTGCCTATCTTTAAAATTTGGTTGCCGTTTCAATTTTGATCCCAGAGAGACATTCTATTTCTAAATTGTCCCACATTATGCCCCTGAACTTTGAGCATTTAAGAAACGTTGTAGAATAAATATGAGGGTTTACAATGAACCTACATTTAGAGATTAGGATGAGAAATGAGCATCTTCTTAATTGTTTGGAATCAATTAAGAAGACAATAATGTTAACCCTCGGACGAAAAATAAAAATATTGTAATTGATCAGAAAAAATACAGAATAATCTGTTCTCATGCCAGAGAAACATATAACGGCGAGATAAAATACTCCCAGAATAGTTAAGATCAACGATGCAAAGTTCGACTACAACAATTTGGTTTCATCAATCGTTTGAAGAATCGGCACATCAATATCAATGGGTAATTGCCAACGATAACGAAATTTAGAGTATAATTCCATATAAGAATCCAAACAACATAATAAATATCGTTGAATTGGATTCGATATCTTCAAAAGGTTTCCCAGTCCACGAAAAATTTCATGAAAAGGGCCCAAATAAAACTCAAAGATCCATTCCCTTAATCAGATAACAGTTCTTCAATGGCATTGGCATAAACAGACTTGGGCAAAGTTCCAGTAATGCTCTTTACCTGTTCTCCGTTCTTGAACAGCAGAACTGTGGGGACTCGCTCAATGCCATGAGAGTCTGCGACATGCGAGTAGTCATCGGTGTTGAGCTTGAAGCATCTGATCCTTCCGGAATATTCTCGGGCTATTTCATCCATCACACGAGCAACCATCCTGCAGGGCCCGCACCAAGAAGCCCAGAACTCTACGACAACTGGCATGTCGCTGCAGAGAACCAGTTGGTTCCAAGAGCATGCAGTGATCACTTCAGCTGAATGAAGTAATTTTCCCACTAGTTGATCAGAATATATTCTAGAATCGTGTAATGATATATAAAGAAGTGTTATTTTTCATCGTCAAGAGCCTGTTGGCGGACGGTATTGGAAGAAATATATGAAAGAAGTAACTTCCAAATTAAGCAGAAGTATTTTTTTTTATTATGGCAATAGTCAAAATAATACTTCTTCATTCTTTTTTTTTTTTGTATAGCAATTACAAAGGGAGCTTTAGGACTTTAAATTATAAGTATAAAAGGAGAGGTTAATAAGAAAACTGATTGTTCATGAATTCATACACATTTCAACTTCAAAGCTATTTATTAGCCTCAAGGGGCAGATAAAATTTTAAGAAATGGGGATGTTACATAGACGTTGCATCTACATCTAAAAGAGTACCAGAACAGGTTTTTCAGAGAAACAAATAAATGTTTTGCTCAGAAATAGCAGAATTAGACTCTATTTCCTTCAATTTTAATAGCTACTTTCATGCATACAAACCATGCCCTAAAATTCACCAAATTATCATGAACTATTAGAGATCTGTACAAAAATACCATAACCTATTTTTACTTGAGAAAGTACAACAACTTTTTTTCTCTAAACTAAAATGTCTATAATCTAATTTTACTAGAGAGAAGTACCAAAAAATTCCACTAAACTAAAATGACTGACGGACATCACTCCAAGTTGACACATGATAAACACATGACATATTTCAGACACTTTTGGCCTTATTTAATTTATAAACTACTATACTATCATCTCTCTGTTCTTAACTATTAGTCTATTAGAGATATTTTAGACATTTTGAGCATGTCGTTAAATGCTAATTGCGTTAGGATAAGTTTTTTATAGTCTGGTAATTTTCTGCAGATTTGAAAGATTGTAAAAATTTTCTCTAAAAACCTAGTTTGTGAATTTTTTCGTGCAAAATCACTAGTAGTCCATGGTAGTTTTATGAAATCTACCATTCGTGTCTTCTGCTGCATCAAAACATTGAAGTTGTAATGAGGTTTAAAGTTGTAATTCTACACTCACAAGTCTCGAAGGTTTGATTGTCCTTTTCAGAGACCAAAACATGGACTATTTTATACAAATAATACATTCTTTTCTAAAATCTGCTTTAAATCTGTGTTTGTTGAAATTTAAAGTTGAATTGTTGTTACACCATCTTAAATAAGCTTGCACTACACCAAAAACTCCTAACTTTTGATGAGGCTTTGAGTGGTATATTTTCATACCCTTCAACACTATTAGGTTTTGACATCATATTCTCATTCAACAGCGGTAATATAATAAGCCGTCTACTTTTCAATTATTATTGGTGAGTTGTTCACGTTGGATATAAAATGTCGATGTTGTAATTATTCATGATGGTACGAAAAAAAGAAGCTCAGAACAACACGAAATACCCTATTTATACTACAACGTCACATGAATGTTTCCTTGAACTTAACCAGGACTTGGTGCACACCAAATTATAGGCGCTAAAAAAATATGATAAATGAGCCATAGCACAGCGTAGAAAAACAGGAAAATGAAACCATGCAGGGCGCATATCCAAATTATATGAAGATGAATTGATGAATCTTATCCACAGTGCTCTAACAAGAACATAACGTGTACATGGATAGTTACACGTAATCAAGATAATGAGACCCAACAGCGAACGTGATCTTCAATTAGGTCTTACGTCTTTATGAATTGTGCACCATTGCAATAATTTATAGCAGATAAGTACGGTATCCAGAAAACAAAAATATTGGCATAATTCTTGCCCAATATATGATTGAAAGTCAAATGTGGTCATGACTTATTATTTATAAAGCTCGACAATGCTATGATTTCAGATTATCTTCTGTACTCACCTAGATAGTTAGATGATTAACCTGGTTTACAAAACATTAGCCCTAAACAAACATCTTTAAATCAGCAACATATGTCCTCCTTAAAAATCTTTACGCCAATCTCTTCCCTTTTTCTCTATTGAAAATTATCTACAGATGTATAAGAGGTGCTAGACAATTCGGCCTCTAAAGGTATAACATCTCCTCTCTTTTGATACATTGGACCAAAATGGAAAGACCAAACTAATGTACTGTCACAAAGGAATTCATTAATCAAGTGCTCAATGTTTGAGATGATCTTACAACCGAGATTATGGTAGATAAAATAGATGCCCAAAAAACAGTTAAAAATCACAATATGAGGAAAGGGATAGTTAAGGGGAGCAAATTGGAGCCTTACAAATTTGAGTTACGTCCAAGTCTTCAGTTAAGCTAATTCATAACTTCAGATTAAAGAGACATCAAATATCAGATATAGTTTCATATCTACATAATTAGACGTTAAATATAAAGGAAAGAGAAAAGGGCCTTTGTATATAGTTTCATCTCTATAGTTTAAGAGATTAACGTTTCATGCGTAGTTTCACATCCCTCTCTCACAAACAGATAAAAATCTGATGTTTAGAGCTACGTCTAGAACCATATGTTTGACGGCATATTCCCATTAACATGAGAGCATTGATAGGCTAGCAATTCAGATTTTGTTGAGACACCTTGCAGCTCCACTGATTCTAGTGTTCCTCATGCCAAGAGAGTCTTGAGCTAGGCCAAAAACTCAAATATTCTGACTATCAATACCTTCAAAGTAACAAAGACATCGACATTGGGTTTAGTTTCATATCTTTAGACATTAAAATTTTGAGACGGGTCTCTAACACACAGAAAAGAATTCATCAACTCCAACTTGCAAGGTGACAAGAAAGCCATTGGCCATTGCTTATTTAACCTGAAGGAATAAACATAAAGCAATAGCCTGCATGACCACTACTCTAGGCAAGCACATCAAACTGTGTGCCTAAGGATAATGCTCCATGCCGATCGCTCCTACTAGATAAATAGCTCAGAATTCATTCTCTTCATGCACAACTCTCTAAAGACCAATATTAGACTTGTCCTATGGAAGAGAATTATTCAAGAGGGCATCATAAAACCAACGATTCAGATGCTGGTTAGGATGTGAAATTGTGGAAAATATATAGAAAAGGTGCTCAACCTCTTATATCCTATTTCCCAATATTACCATCTAGTACCTAGTCACCTTAATTCTTGTTCCTACCATTTTCTATTAATATGTGATTGTCTTGATCCCTCTTCCTCCTTGCCCTCTTCTTTTCATCTTCCCTTCTTCCTTACTTTTGTCATCTTCATTATTTTACCTCCTCTTCAACTCTCTAGTCTCTAATTAGCTTTTAATTTGAAATAGAACCCCATCTTTTCAATATGTCTTTACTGTAAGAGGGCAATTCATACATCGCACTCAGTCAAGAGTTATATGATGTTCCTTCTCTTAGTCCTAGATATTTGATGATACGTGGTTAGCTCAAATCGTTCACCTCCACTGGACAGATTAACAGAGACAAACAGTCTAACTACATCAAAGGATGGGTGATCTACTTTTCAATGTCAGACAATCACCAACGACAGCAACAAGAAGTCCGTCGACTAATCTTTATTCAAGAATAATCACACCTCAAAGTCTTGATATCTATTAACTTCCCCTTAAATCATATAAACATATTCCAAGTAGGTTCCTGTAACCCCGAGCCTTAGATGCAGGCAAAAAATGAGTGGCCCGACACAAAAATATGATTACCTGCCTTTTGAGGAGAATAAGTAGAAGTCTGGCGTTTTAGGCTCTATTTCATCAAGCGGGTGGCAGATCTTAAAAGAGGTTGTGATTGAAAAGATGACAAAGGAGACCCTAAACTTTTTTTGATCAACTCTGTCGAATGGGGGAAAATCCTGGAGAGGCTCCATAAAATATCATATAGGCAGGAAGGAGGAAGTGACGCCTGTCGCATCGTTCAGCTAATGTTGAAAGAGGGAAAACCCACCCCCTTCCCCCTGTGCTCAAAATGCACAAGACACGACGAGAGATTCATAAAGACAAATGAAATGGATAGTTTTGGGTGCCATTCAGGCACATTGGAGGTAGAGCAGCATAAATCTAAAACCCCAATTATGATGTGTTTGAAAATTATTCTATAGTTAACTTCAGGTTTCATAATTTTGCCCGCAAAAAAGTGAAGGTACTAAAAACCAAGTCATGTCAAACTTATCTCACGCCTCCATTTTTCTCGAAGCCAAATACATCATAAATTGGAGTACAGAGAACTCGAGGTAGAATAGAACTATCCAAACTGGAGTTTGCATGACCTATACCTCCATTTTAAGAAATACCTTTAAGCTCTAATCGCCTATACTCCATTTCTCAGAACCTTATCAATTTCTCTCTCAAAATCAAAAGCAATATAGACAATCTAATAAGTCAGCACATAGCACAGACCAAATTGTGCCAATTTATCGGCTCATATAAAATTGCACGCAGTAATAATCTGCAACTTTTGCCATGATCGTTATTACATAAAGCATAGGCTTCTCATTTAACTTCGGATAGAACAAATTTTCACTGTAGACCCAAAACAATTTTTTATTATCAAAATCGACCAATTTTTTTTTTTAATTACCAAAATCGACCCGTTTTATGCCACGTAGGCGTAATCCAGTTTCCTAATTAGTCGGGGTTGCCAACCCCGACTGTTTAGGAGTTGTTAAACCGGGTTTTAAGGCTTCTAATCGGGGTTTAACAACTCCTAAACAGTCGGGGTTGGCAACCCGACTAATTAGGAATGGCATAAAACGGTCGATTTTGGTAATTAAAAAAAAATCGGTCGATTTTGATAATTAAAATTCCGTTTGGGTCTACAGTGAAAATTTGTTCCTTCGGATACCACCACCAAGAAATATTGCCAACCTGAATTAGTGCTGCAACAATCTAGCCTTTTTTATTCTTCAACCATATACTCTTTCATAAACACTACATGGTAGCTGTATCTTTGTTTGAAACAATCAGGACAAAATTTCAACCCCCCATCTTTTGTTCGAAAAGAACGCTTTTATCTTATTATGCATCAAACTTTGAGAATTTACTTAATCAATAAATCCCTGAACATTATAATCAAAGTGAACGATCGCATAAAAAAACCAATAGAGGGGTAAAAATTAGGGTTCTGCTTACGTGAATTTGAGAACACGCACGTGACACTTCGCCTCCTCTTCCTCTCGATCGGGATGAAGCGCTGAGAATGAGAGGACCGAGCACTGAAAGCACGTGAGCAGGAGAGGAAGTGATTTGGGAGATGGGTTTTGGTCGGATTGGGGGATTGAGAAGCTGAGGGGTCGTCCGCCATGGGATAGGCGCACGATAAGCAGAGAGGCGCATGATAGGTAGCAGCCATGAGAAGAAAAGATGGAAGACGACGAAATGAGGAGAGGGTTACGTCGCGTAGTGAGCTTTTTGCCCTTTTGATAATAGTTTACAGTTAATTACATATAACCCCCTGTTAGTGCTACTATTTATTGTTTAGTACCTATATCATCCTGTGGCCCCTCACATAACTCTTTTTGACCTCCTCATCTTTTTCGATCATATGTCATCCAAATTAGCTTATTAAAGGTAAAGGATAGTCCATTATTATATTTTTCGGAATAGTTAATTCAAAAAATTCTAACCTTTTATTTTAAAAATTTTATTTTTCTAACTTCATCAAATTTTTTCTAACTTCTTTCTTATATATTTGATTTAATTTAGCTAGCATGGCGACTAATAATAACATCAAAACTAGATGTCAGCCATACTTTCTCCGTGAAATAATGCTATCGTCGAAATAGCAAATTTATATTTTCTCTCTCCCCTTCAACCAAGCCTTAATCTATTATTCTATGAAGTTATCTATATTTTAAATATTTAGCTATCTCTATTTAATATGTTTTTCTCTGTTATCAACTTCTATACAACTTATATTTTAAACAATAATTTTTTTCGGTGTGCTTATCTTTTTTCTATTTTAATTTGTAAGGATTTTTAAATTTCTCTACATTTTATTTATGTTTGCCATTATGTAAAGTTGTCTATTTTTTTTTTAATGACTCAAGCAAACTCAAAACAACAATGGCCAATATGACTAAATCAAATACTCCTGATTTTGTTTCCTGTCCTTTGATATATAGAAACTTTTGCAAGTGATTTGGAGAGTCTTCGATCTGGAGTTGGAAGCTTTTGAGATGGATAGCCTTTTCCATCTAGATGTTTATTTTTTAAAGTTAAAAACACCTCGTTTTCATTTTAATCTCTATTTTTTAATTTATTATATTTTATTCCAATCATGGCTCTCTTATTTTATTTAAAATTGCCCACCCCTCCACAATTTTGACCATCTTTTATTTGACTTTATGTATTTTTAACTAAATCTGACTATTTTTAATAGAACCTGGGTAATTTTTTTTTATAAATATGCATATTTGTAAGGATTATTATTTGACTAAAAGGGTAAAAATAAAAATCAAAAGTTTTGACAAGGCAAATAAAAGATGTAGTATAGATGGGCCGTGACTAAGTATATTCATGAAATGAATGAGAACTAGATTTTTACTTTTTTAAGGAGAAATTATGTAATTTGAATTTCATTTATCTTAAAGACATATAACCTACTCAATACGTCACAAGTTAATGTTTTTAAGAATAAAACGGCAAAAGGTAATATAAGTTACCCAAATACAAATTGTCTAATATGCATAGAATTTCATTTCCATGAATGATTTAGATATTATACATGGGGAAAAAACTGTTATACTAAATGAGCAAGTATTTTTATATGTCATATGAGCTACATTCATTATGTAAAAAAATGAAAAGCATCATAAGTGAATAAAAATTTGATCATTAGGTACATAAATATGAGCGTCCAATTTTTTGATCCAAAAATTAAAATAAAATAAAAAAGAGTTTCCAATTAATCGATAAGTACAACTCCAATTAACCGTATGTTATGTGATTAGATCAGATTAATTTGGGCTTGAAGCCCATATTTATTTTGGGCCTTAGGCCTAAACCCAGATCTCTGAGCGTAAAATGTGCACACTCCCATCATCTCCTCTTATTTCTTCTCTCTCTCTCTCTCTCTCTTTCTCTCTCTCTCTCTAGGGTTTCTCTTCAGAGAAGAGAGAATAAAAAAATGGCGTCGGGTGGAAAGGTGTCTTTTAAAGTAACCCTAACATCGGATCCTAAGCTCCCATTCAAAGTGTAATCTTTTTTCCCCTTTCTCTCTCTCAAATCCCTAGGGTTTCATTTCCTGAAATTTCGATTTTTTTTTTAATTTTTGGGTTTTCTAATTCGTCGATCTTGATCCAGTTTCAGCGTTCCAGAGGCGGCGCCGTTCACTGCGGTGCTCAAATTCGCCGCCGAGGAGTTTAAAGTCCCCCCTCAGACCAGCGCCATCATCACCAATGGTACTGATTTCTCTTTCTTTTAAAATTTTATTTTCCAAAAAGTTATAAATTTTGGTTTGCAAGCATTTATATGAATTGTTAGGGGTAAATTTCACAAACTTCATGAAAATACAAATTTTTTTAATTAGGGAAAACATTACCTTTCGAATTGGCAGAAAAATACCACCTAACTTCAGAAATCTACGCGGGAACTAAATATCATGAACTTTACATTATCATCAGATAACTACCATGAACTATTAGGTATTATCACAAAAGGAGCATGCAATTAGTATGTGCTATTTTTCAGTTAATTTGAAAGTTGTATTTTTCTCTGATAAAAGCAGGTTAAGGTAGTTTTGTGCAAGACTCCCAATAGTTCCTAGTAGTTTGGTGAATTTTCCCGTCCTTTTGATCATAATTATGTTGTAGAAATAGAGTTGTAGTTCATTTCTTCCGTTACACTAGCCTAGTCTAACATGAAGTTGTAAAAATGGGTACTTGGTGAGGGAAAATGTGGAGTCTTCTGGATATCACTGCACTGTTAACTTAAGATCGTAGATCTTATAATTATTGTTTTAACCAAAGGCAGTGGAGGATTGATATGATTTAATTCAAAACTACTAGGCTTGAGTTCCAGTAAAATATGCGTGAGATGGTACTGTTTGTTTCAGTATTTACAAAGGTGAGTGGTTCTTCCAATAACCAATATGCAACTTTAGTCAGGGTATTTATGTAGGTGCAGAAGCAAAGCTATTAAGCTTTTGCTTGTTATTCTGTTGATACATTTAGAGGACATTTGGAAAATTATATAACTTCTTTGAAATTTCTGAAACTGTCATGTAACTTGCTTGGTGAATTATAGGTTTTGTCATTCCCCAAAACCGTCCTAATTTCAGCATTGATATTGTATAGACATGTGAACTAATTCAGTAGGTGGAAGCCCGTATGAAATGTAACTACTAAGAGAGCAAGGAGAATGAGCACCAGACACCAATAATTTGCATATATCACATGCATATAGTTGCTTATGGTTTTCCTTCATCTGCAGTTATTTTTTTTGCTAGATTCTATTATACTATGATATAATTCATGAATACTCATACGATGGTAAGTCAGAGTGCTGGTTAGGATCACAAACTAGAATCGAATCCAACCCCATTGGGCTTGATACCACTGCTATAATATATACCTGCCTTCAGGATTTTGTTCTAGTGCTGCCCTCATCTAATTTAGTGGTGTCTTACTTCAAATTCTAATGATATCCTAAGTTATAGATACAAGTAAAAGTTGGCAATCCAGTGGTGTCCTATGACACCACTGGACAATATGTGGCTCCGTCGCTGCCTGGCTTCCAAAGCTTACGTGTATCAAATCAAATATTGTAATTTGAAAAGATTAAAGCACAGCAAAAAAACCCTTCCTTACAGGACATGGGTAATTTCTTGACCTCTTGTGTCACTTTGTCTTTGGAGAGAGCTGACTAAGGCTCTCATTGATACACGGGACCCTGATTCAAACGACTAAATATTTGTGGTTTTGACTTTTAAATTAAACCAAAAAGATCTGGGTATGATCACTTCCATACATTAAACCATTTGCCAATATTTTGCTAATATTTAAATGTCAATGTGCACTTCGTATAGCGTGTTTTACCAAACACATAATAACGTAACATGAAATATATTCACTTGAGCTAAATTGCACTTCAGATTAGAACATCAATATTTTGATAGTCTTGTGACTGATGGTCTTAGATCTAGTTGTTTTTAGGTAGAAACCATCCAGATCAAAAAGCTAAGACTAAAAGAAGATTATGAATAATAGCATAACTAGAATTTGATAGTTCTCAGTTCTCATATGGTAAATTTGAAATGTTACTTAAATAGTATATGAAGGGGATCAGAAGGGGACTCTAATTTGGAGTGGAGTTGTTTTGAGTAGCAGAGGCTGTAGACTTTATTGGAGGATGATTACATGGTTAATCTGTGGTTTTTTGGGGCTGTATATGGTAACAAATAAACTCCTAATTAAAGTGGAAGAAGATATCAAAATCGTATCCAAAAGAAATCTTTATCAAAGTAAAAAAATTACATAGAATAAAATCAAATTATAGCAAAAAACTAGGATCCAAATAAATCCTAATTGCGTTAGATTGACGGTCCGCAGTCATCCTAGTTCAGTACGTGCCTCATAAATCTATTTAATATTCTGGATGTAACAAAAAGTCAATGATTGATCCAATCAGAATCACTATAAATTTTCCATAATGTATTTGAATTTGGATTTTGGATATCACACAAATCCGACCCAAACTCAAATGTTAAGAGGCTAAACCTGATCTAATAAGCTGATACAAACTCAACGAAGTTATGATCATAAAGTGCATTGATTTTTATTTTTATTTCCTGAATGTGGAAGTTTAAAATGCTTGGCCATTGTAATTTTGTCTCCTAGGTATCATGACATGAGTTTGTGTGTATTTACTTGCAAATTCATGAGATTTATATCTCATCTTTTTTTTCCAAGTTGCTATTTATTAACGTGTGAGCTCTTCTCTCTTCTCCAGATGGTGTCGGTATTAACCCTCAGCAAAGTGCAGGTACTTCTTGATTTGTTAATTCCTTTGTGGTGGATTTAAGTTTGATGCTTAGCCTTTCTTCTATTCTATCACATGGTATTGTTGGTTGTTTCTCAATCAGGATATTGAGTAGCGATATACTGTTTGTTGAAAGAGTATTTGACTTTGTGTTAGTAGGTGGACCATAATCTCTCATTTTAGACCATCAACTTCTGAGCTATCTTTTTCCATCATGTAGGTTTTGATATGTTTTGGTCCCATGTTGAAGGCTAGATATCTAGAAGTGACATTTACAACAAAAACTTATCCCCCGTTTTGAAACTCCCTCGCACCCACCAACCCACTTATACACCCACATATTTTATGCATACATGATACATTGTCGTAATGCACTTATTAGATTAGCTTCAGATTGTTTTCCTCCGTTCAATGGTTCACCACAATTTCTATGTTTGACTAGTTATCTGCTCGGTATTTCATCTCTTCACCCCATCTCCAGGCTATTCCTTTGGATATAGTTAATGGTTTTTGCTGAGTTCACTTCAACAATAAAGTTTTTGTGCTATACACAGAAGTATGAATAGAGTTGTAAATGATAGTGATTTTATATATTTACACAGGTAATGTCTTTCTCAAACACGGTTCAGAGTTGCGTCTGATACCTCGAGACAGAGTTGGAGCACCCCTTTTCTTCTGATTGGCTGGTGTTTGATAGCGCGTACTTTAATGGAGAACAGTAATACCTATTACCATGTGTATTGATTTTATGGCCCGTGATAATGTATGTATAAGCTCGTATGCCTGGCAAAAGATGTTCCCGTACAATAATGAATAAAACAGTATCATCCAAAAACTTTTACGTTACTAAAACAACATCAGATCTTGCCAGCTTCAAATGTTTGTAGCTATTTACGGAGTTCATCTGTGGGCTTATAGCGCAGCATTGGACAGTTCATAGTTTTGTTCAGATACTGGTGCCTGTTTGCAATGTCAAACTGTGACATCTTGCTGCTTCTATTATCAGAAATGGGTCAGGCGTTCGGTCGGTTTCTTTTGGGCATCTATGCATGTTTATCTGCTGGGGAGAAAGATCCTTGTGGTAATAAATGTATGAGTTTACAAGTACAAAGCTAATCTATGATTAAAGGTACATTTTCTTTAATAAACATTATGTGTCTTATTTTTGTTAATACCCGCTCTCTCATGGGCTACGATCTATCTAGCTTGTTAAATAGGCTCTAGATGCTCTCCTTTGTTTTGACGAGTCTCTGATGTCAACCTTGTACTACTTCTAAGGATTTTTTTTCTCCCACATATATAATCCACAACATTCACTGCTCACATGTCTCTGATCTTTGTTCTTGGAAGCTAGCCTTCTTCATCTTTCTTTGGAGAAAAACAGAGAATCTCTGCTCTGTCTCCTTTAAGATTCTAGTGGAAGTCACTAACTAGTCAGTGAGAGTTGGTGATCCTTGCAGTTCTTTCACATGTTAGCCATTCTTTTGTATATTATTGTGTCACTGGCTGGGTATCACATGGTTCATGAGATGAAGAAGGAAGGAAGGGACTTAAATGAGAGAATGAATGTTTTGAGTACTTTCACCATTGGTGTTTTTTTCAACCAGATTTTATGGGAACATAATATATATGCTTTTCTATTGCAATTGGTTCGGTTACTGTTTGCATTGATTTGGTTTCATTATTTCTTTCCACTACTACTACAAAAAACCATTATCGCAAAAAGAATCATCTGCCAAATCATATTTTTCCACACAGCTTTGATAAGAGCATTCTCTTGTACTAAATTAATCATTCTAACTCGGTTCCTTTGGACGTATGTCCAGTTGAACGTGATCAAATCATCTCTAACAATTGTCTCATTTTTTTCTTCAATCGGGGTAATCTCTAACTTAGTAACAATGCTCTCATTACTTATTACATATCTTGTTTCTGCCTGTTTACATAGATTTTATATATCGTTTACGCTAAATAAAAATGACAGGGGACAAGTGTAGTCTCCTCGTATATTTTTCTCATTATATATAACAAATCAACCCCTGAGGGGGACCCTGTAAGACTACGAAAGGCATTAAATTCAAATCATTTGGATCCTCGTACACTTGCAGCTATCTGCTGCTGTTTTGCCTCCGTCCTGCATTTGTACTGAGTATATATATATATATATATATAAGTATCATTGAGTTTTATCTACTATGTGACATGTATTTTACTTGGAGAGACAAAAATACCAATCCATCATAAACGAATTACCTTGGTTTTTTCCATATGAAGTAAAAGAGGTGATATAGAGGAAAAACAGATTTTAAATTTGTTGTGATCCTTTTATTAATGGTTAAGGATTTTTTTTAAATTAAAATCGCTTTCTTCAAGTGGGTATTTTATTCAAATCAAAAATTAAGTAACTATGTTAAGGAGGTTTGTTGATTGAATTGTAAAAGATTAGGGGAGTTTTATGAGACACACTATAGTTGAGAGGTGTTTTCTAAAGTTACACCAAAATTGAGAGGGGTTATCTATAACACCCCCAATAATAATAGAGTTTTTATCAAACTGAATCAATTGAGTGAGTTTTTTTTTAAGAAAATCCCTATAATTGGGAGGGGTTTTAAAAAATTAGCTCTTCTTTTAAACATGACTTATTTATAATTTGTCTCACAAAAATTTAATAATTTAATATTAGTCCCTAAAATTATGAGTAATTTCAAAATTTTGAGAGAATAACATATAATCATTGGATATTTTAAAATCAATGAACTAATATCTAAAAACCATTACATATTTACTTTTATATGCATTCTATTGCTATATCGGCCAATATATCGCTATCGGCCAATATATCGGTGTTAAAGACTTTATCTCAGTAATATTTTATGTTATTTTTTTGTTTGGTTATTGTTTTTGATATATCAACTGTATTAAAATTATGGCCGATATATCCCTTTGAAGATCTCAAGAAAATCATGTCATTTTTAATTTGATTGTTGGCTTAGTCCAGATTGTGTTTAGGAAATAAAATCGGAACCCACAAAACCCACAAAGGCCACAGTTCTTCTCCCAAATCTCTCCACTCTCGGCTCTCCCAAATCTTAAGCATATATCTTGATGCAAATTCTTATATTTAAAATTTATTAATATGTTAGATTATATATTACAATGATAGGTTACGTATGAATATTATCTTGTATGACATCCAGTATTACATACATATTCCTAATTTTTACAATCTAATACCATGGATTTTATTTATTAAATATTTATTTGATGTTCAACATTTTGTAGTTGTCCATCAAAAGCCACTTCTAAAGTTTTCTAAGCGAAGTATATACTTTCAGGAAATAATTCAAAATCTTAAGACTCATTCAAAATACGATGTTTTAATTTTTCCACATCTTCTCTACTATATAAATATAATCTAAGCATCTGACCTCATATTGTATGATGAATATTATTTATCAATAAGATCATATACTATTGTTTGTGGATAACAAATGTTTCAAATCTTTTATAGGCGAATATTATTTATCAATAAGATCATATACTATTGTTTGTGGATAACAAATGTTTCAAATCTTTTATAGGCTTAACTGAAATTAAATACCTTATAGATACTATTGTTTGTGGATAACAAATGTTTCAAATCTTTTATAGGCTTAACTGAAATTAAATACCTTATATTTTACCAAAATTATACTTATATATCTCCACTTGTATCTTGCTTCACTTTTTTTTTAAATTTTAGATGACGTATCTTGCTACACTTAATTATCCTAATATTTTCTAAAATTTAATATTTGTAACTTCTGTCCTGTTACCTAAACATAAAAATGCTATTTGTAATTTTCCTATATGAGTTTCGTGGTATAATTTTAGGATTAATTCTATGTTTTCTACTCTTTCTATAAATACTTTATTGACATGCAATTATCTATTAATATATTATTAGACTTTACTAATAATTAATATGATGTACAATTTTACAATAACGTTAGAAGTTTTAGGGACCAAATCATACAAACTTAAAGTGACATATTATATAATTAATTAACAATGATAATTAATTTAGTTTAGTTAGTATTAGAATATAATACCAAAAAAGAATAGGGGTAATATAGTCTTTGGAAAGTTTTTTCACAACTCCCTCTTTTAAATGGAATATGATATGATATATATATATATCCCATAATCTTTCAAACTACAAGTATCAAACCACATGGCATGACTAATGGACATCCCCAATGCAGAGCCTTGGGTATTTAGGAAATTACGTTTTAGCCGTGGGTACTCTAGGAAAATAAATTTCTAAGGTTGTTCTCCAGAAGAGTCAAAACCAAGATCTTGGATACTACTCATAGACATCTTTTCAACTTAGCTAGACCCTATTGGATGTTCTGTAAATAAATTATCAATATGTGCATTTAGTGACGAAGTATGGATGGACATGTAAATCAGATATGTATACAATATCTCATTTTATGTACACTTCTAGTTTTTAAGGGTTACTAGTATTTAAACCCGTGGAAAGCACGTTTCCTAAAAGATTTTTTTAAAATATTGAACATGTTATCAAAATAAATTATTCTGCTTTGGGTTGATGAAGTGATCCTCAAATTTCTCAAATAATTTTTAAAACAAATCTAAAAAACAAAAAGGCAAATACCCTATCAATTTAAATAATAATATTTTAAAGAAAATTTTGCAAATAAAAGAGAGTTTTGGGGTTTTTAGTCTATACCATTGGAAGAACTTCTATTTGTGCTTCCCTCCATCAGGATTCCATCTGAAACATAAAGAAAAAGATTCCATCAAATTCAACAATAATATTTTTCATCGAGAATCAATTTTCAAGTCTATAAATTGGAGAGGAGACTCATAAAAGAAAACTATATGCAACTCCATTATAATCAAGAAAATAACCTGTTGAAGAATCTAAAGTAAACACATGAGTGTCACTCTCAAAAGCATCAAACATGAGTCATATAATGAAATCAAATATTGAGTTGTAGAAATTGGACGATAATATGTTGCTGAGGAAAACACAAATTAAATTATCAAGCACACAGAATTGCAATGAGAAGCCAGTGATATTAGTACATTCTATAATGATCAAAGAGATATTTTAGAAAGAATGTGTTTATTAGAGTTCAAGGGTAAAAAGTGGTAGTTCGGTTGATGAAGTGATCCTCAAATTTCTCAAATAGTTAAAAAAAAATCTAAAAAACAGAAAGGCAAATATCCTATCAATTTAAAAAATAATATTTTCAAGAAAAATTTGTAAATAAAAGAGAGTTTTTGGGCTTTTATTCTATACCATTGGAAGAATTTATATTTGTGCTTCCCTCCATCAGGATTCCATCTAAAACATAAAGAAAAAGATTCCATCAAATTCAACATTAGAATCAATTTTCAAGTTAAAATCACAATGCATCCCAAACTCATAACTCTTACTCGGATTCACATAAAATACTTCTCCTGAATGATTTCTGACAGTGGCTGAAAAATTTTGTTTCTGATTTCATTTAGAACTATTTGTAAGAAGATACAATTAGAATAAATTGATCTTAAACTCTCTACAAGATTTCGAGGGATGAAACTATAGATTCAGATATCTAAGGCTAGAGATCGAAACTTATAGGCGAATCAGAGGGTTACCTTATGATTGGACTTTGAGGCGGAGGCCGATGCGGCGACGAGGAGGACGACGACGAAGAATCGAGAAAAATAATGCATCGTTGATTGAATTGGGGGAAAATGCCCTAGCTAGCTCGAATTTTTGACTCTTATTATTATTATTATTATTTATTATTTATTATTTTTTGGCAACGATCGAGAGAAAGAACGAATGAGACAGATGGAGAAAGAAGAAAACTTCTCGGAGATGGGGGCGGATAGGAGAGAGGGGGATCTCGGAGAAAGAATAAAACAAAAGAAAAATCCTTGTCTGAGTTAGGATAGAGAGGTGTATCTCTTTTGGGTTTACAGGGGCGATCCCGAGAGGGGGACTTTTTGAAATTCAAAATCGATTAGGGGGAAGAACGTGGGTAGTAGGAGAGGGAGGTAGTGATTAGGGTCTTATGCTAATCTAATCCGATTAAATGCCAATTAAAACTTATTAACAAGTTATCCTAGCAAGA